TTAAGTGCAAAGTGTACTAAGAAAACTGTCAAGTTTGGGGGCGGAAGCGTCATGGTATTTGGAATGTTTTTTCTAGCCAAGGTACAACGCCTCTTGTCCGTTACAAACTCGTGTAAACGTGCAGATCTATAAAACATTGTTCAAGATCATGTTGTGCCAATCATACAGAATTCAGGTTTCGATAGGGCTACCTTTATGCAAGATAATGCCCCATGTCACAAGGCAAAGGTGGTAATGAGTTACCTTAGCGAGCAAGATTTGCAAATTATGGATTGGCCACCGCAAAGTCCTGACTTAAATCCAATAGAAAATCTTTGGAAGACCTTAGGAGTGAAAGTTATGGAAAGAAATCCCACTAACACGGAGGATTTGTGGGTGAAGCTTCAAGAAGAATGGTCTAAAATTAGTATCGAGGATTGTCAAGAACTGATTCGTTCTTGTAGTCGAAGATGTGCAGCTGTCATTGAGAGCAAGGGCTCATTTACTAAATATTGATTGTACATGTATTTTTATTGTTTTTTTGCCGTTTACATTGTTTTTCTCAATTTTGTCCCTTACTTTTGGACGTTCCAAATTTGAAAATAAATAAATAATTGTTATAATTCTTTTTCTATCCTTTGCAAATGATTCAAATTTTACTATGTTATTATGGATGATAACGACTACCAGTTGTCAAAATTTCAGCTTTTCACAGTTGTTATTTCTAACAAATATTAGGTTTTAAAATTTTGTCCCTTAGTTTTGGACGCTACTGTATATATATATATATGTTGCATGCTGGTACTAATAAAATAGGGCTCAATGTATAATAACACAGCTATAATTTATATCAATAATAAATGTGCATTTCTTTACAAGTTGCACAACTCAGAGTTTCCTGCAAAATACAATCATCAGGTGCAAATTGAAAGTTTCTGATGATTGCATTGTGCAGGAAACTTAGAGTTGTACTGTTAGTGAGGAAAAAAATGTATATTTACTATTAATAAATATATATATATATATATATATATATATATATATAATAAATGGACTCTCCCGTCGGTTTCGTGTAATAAACCATCGGTTTTGTGTAATAATCTTAAGTGGCACTTAAGACCTGCTAGTGGTTTACAAAGGAGGCCATATATGGAGCAAGAGTGAGGATTGTGGAATGAGATCAGTGTTAGATTGGCTGACCTTTTAGATCTTGCTCTCACTTCTTGAAGATGATTGAGACAAGCAGATTGAAAACTGCTGAGTCCACAAAAACACGTTGACCTCCATTCTACCTGCTCCAAGGCTAAGTGCTCAAGGGTGTTATGTGGTATATTGACAGCTGGAAAAAAATATATATATATATATATATATATATATATATTAATAGTAAATATACATCAATAATATATGCGAGGCATGGTGGAGTAATGGATAGTGGCTCAGATTGAGGAATCGCAGAGACAAGTTTGAATTCCAGTTGGATGTATTACATTCACTTATGTCCTAATGCCCTTGGGAAATGTATAAATCCTTTTCTTCTATCCCCCAGCTCTGGGTAAATAGCAAGACAGACTGGGTTCTATAACCTTGGGTGGCAACCAGTCTAGGAGAAGGAAAAACTCTGAATTCAAAACCAGCCTGGAGAGGGTTGGGGTTTGTCAGGCTATCTTGCCCAAGAAACACCACTTCTACAGTGGCTGCAGTATGCATGGTGCCCCTACGACTCTACAGGTCATGGGATAAAAAAAATATATGTATTTTTTTCTTTTGTCTGACACTAAACGTCATAGTAAATGGATTGTTATCAAATATACTTCTTTTGACCTAAACTTTGAGTTGCAAACAATAATAAAGATAATGAGGAAGAAGACATTAACTGTTAAAGCAGACGCAACCAGAAAGAGATATAATGCATGAACACAACATCTGCTGTAGTGGGAGGAGGGGCTTAATTTACCTTCTGTAAACTATACCAGATGTAACTTTTTATACTTATCTGCTGTGGGAAAAGGCCTGTGCGGGGAAGTTTCAAAAGAATATTGGGCCCAAGACTCAGGAAGGCCTTGCCCCCAAACAGTACCTCTCCTTCGGGTGGGGACTGGGTTTATTGCCTGGTGTGTGAAATGTCCATAAAAGGGCAAGTGTTGAGAGGACTTGGGCAATTTTTGCAAGGTATTGCTGTTAAACCCACTTTAAACCTTGACCTTATGTCACATTTGGTAGGGATGTGGGCATGTTGAAAAGTACTCTATACCAGATGTAACTTATATCTGTTTTGTACACTTCAGCCATCTTGTGTCCAAGGAGCCCATTTTTTAACAAAATAAATGCGTAATTGTTTTTGTCATAGACAATATATTTGTCTTGTGTTTCATTCACACTTTTCATGTAGATGTTTTTTTTTTTAATTTGAATTCTTTTCTTTTTCATCTGCACTTGAATCTGTAAGAAGCTACAACTTTGATCTGTTGAATTCCAACAATGTGGTTGACCCAATAACAATTAATATTCGATTTGGGGTCATGTCACAAGATAGAATGAAATGCTACACATTGAGATAGTGAAGAGAAAAATTGATTTTTGTTAGAAAGTTAGAAAAAATAATGGAAAAGTGTTTTTATTCATATAAATGTCTTATTAACTCTTTAATGCTCACCATCCTATGTTGGGGAACAGTGAGCATTAATGGGTAGAAAACTATATTTATACCAGATTTTTATAAACCTATACTTAACAGTTTTTTTAGAAACCTGTAATTAATACCAGAGTTTTATTCAAATTTAAATTGTTATAAATGTGTACTAATTTCTAAGGAATTAATGGATTTATTTTTTAATTCAGTTCAAAATAAATCAATTAATTCTTTAGAAATTGCTTTGTATATGTTTTGGATATGAAACTGAGCAGAGACTGGCTTTTGAGAAAATTATTCAAGTGAAGAGAATGTGATTTCCTTAAAAAGAAAAAAATAGAACATGTCTGGAGGCCATGGCGATTTTATTGAATAAACTTACTCTAGTATTTCAAGAGATTTTTGTGTAATTTTTGTAAATATATCTGTTAAAATGAGATGTCAGTGTTATTTTCATTTTTAGACAGCATTTTACCCATTGCATCCTGTGACATTCTTTATGTCTGAGCAGTAAAGCGCTTACTGCATCAAATGGTGATTTCCTCTACAAAGAAGAATGCATGTTTAATACCTGCTGCGGAACACATTTTATTTATTAGGATTTCTTGAATACACACTGATGGATGTAATACACACTGTTTAGTAAATAAAAATGAGGTGTCTACTTCAAATATGAAGTGTCCACCATAACAATACCAGAATTTTCAGTGGACATTATTGAGTTAAATGAAAAACAAATAATTAGAAAAAATTTAAGAATGTTATCGAATAAATTTTTGGTAGGTAAAACTTTTAAGATCTTATCAAATGTGACGAAACTCTGTATGAGGTGTGTAAAAAAGTCTTCAGCATTTTTTTAATTAAAATATTCTCTATTGTGTATTTAGTCCAGTGTTTCTCAACCTTTTTTAATTCAGGGTGCACTTGTAGAATAACTAAAACTCTGGGGCGCATTTTAAATTTAATAAGGAAAAATAAGTCATGAAATTTGAAAATAATAAAGATGTCTCCTGAAATAAGCATTTATTTTTAGGACATTACATTGTATATTTAAGCGGTAGTGCTTTCATTTAAATGGATTTATGAAGAATCTGCTATTTTTCTTTTTACAGAGACCGATAAATAATGATTTAAATTCATTGAAGAAGGCAAAAGGGAAAGGAATATCCACCCCATCTTAAAGATTAAGGAATTTAGCATCCAGTTTAAAATATCAAATGACAAAGACCTGACCTAGACATGGAAGCTTAGTGTCTCTAGCATTTTTAAAAATAAAGACTTTTTTTTAGATATGAAAATAATTAATAAATTACTCTTCTGTTAACTTGGGGCATACCTGGCTACCTTTCAGGGTACATTACTGCGCTCAGACACACTGGTTGAGAAACACTGATTTAGCTTCTTGTTTAAGAAGAAAAAAGAAAAAAGGTGTTGGGAACTTTTAGACACATTTAAGAAAATGAGCAAAAATATGTGATGTGGATGGCTTAGAATTGACAGTGTTGAGAGATACTGGCAAATTGACATGTATACTCTACTCAATCTAAGGAAGTTGTTTACTGTGTTGGCTTCATATAAAATTACACCCAACTTTTCTCCTGGCAGAGAGGGAAGGGAGAAAAAAGAGAGAGGGAAAGGAGAGAAGAGAGAGAGAGAGAGAGATAGATAGATAGAGAGAGAGAGCAGAAGATTTATTTCTGCCCACCTCCTGACTGTCTACATTCTTTTTACTCCGTGTTTGTCAAAAACTACTTTCTATGATTTCTCACCTTTCTTTTGGTTTTTATTTCATTTGTTGTTGTTGTTTTTCATTAGAATGCTTTCAGCTGATACATTCTTTGGCCTTCAGATTAGATTGCAGGAATTTACAACAGTAGAATAGCATTGGATGGCAGGCTAGCTTACGCCCTCACGCAACAGCAGTTTGATATGACATGTAGCAAATGCATATTCGGCAAATAAGCATGTGACAACTGTTATTGTTCTTATCTGCAATCTGATTATACAACCTTTTTTCTTACTTTTGGAAGATAAGTTAAAAAAAAAAGTTACTGGTTATTATTTCATCATTTTCTTTGTAGTTTGCCAGTCAGTTATGTGCCATGCGTGATACACACTTAGGCTATCAATACATGACTAACGAGACAGAAATTTATCCTGCAGTAAGTTGCTATTTCTTTCTGTGGTAGACTAGTTGACATCCAAGGCTATAGAACCCAGTCTGTCCAGCTATTTACTCATAGCTGAGAAGAGAAGAAGAGGATTCATACCTTTCCCAAGGGTATTAGCACATAAGTGAATGTAATGGATTTGATTGGAATTTGAACTCGGCTCTCCAATTCTTCAATCCGAGCTGCTATCCATTACTCCACTGTAGTCTGCCACTTACCTTAAATTCTTGTATCTGAGCCTGGTTGAACATAGCGAACACATTGGATGTGTAACGCTGTGTTCGATTCCGTTTTCCCTTTCTGCTTTTCTTAGTAGACATATTGCAAGAGATCTGTAGAAATGAGAAAAAAAATTGTTTTATAAAATTATTATATACAAATCCATGTTAGCATTAAATGCATATATATATATTTGTCTTAGAAATAACAACACCCTGATGATGACATGGTGCTAATGTTGAAAGTACTCAGAATAAATTCGTCTGTATCAACATGGTAATTTTCTCTCTTCCTTTAATAAGGATACTAAGAAGCTTATCTGTGATTATGAGAGGATCCTATTGAGAATAAGTAGACAAAACTTATCTAAATTATTCAATGAGACATGTCTTTATATATATATATATATATATATATATATATATATATTAATTAACACATGTCTCATTGAATAATTCTAGACAAGTTTCCATATTTTATTATTATTATTATTATCATTATAATGCTCTTTAGTCTACATTGAGCTCTCCCTGGATAAATATCCTCCTCAGAATTATATATATGTAGGATTAATATATAATGTTTGTCACTTAGTTGATTGTTATATTCAGATCTTGATTCCAAAATTTTGTAGATTGACTCTCCAGCAACTGACTTCCTATTTTCTCATTTTCATTATTTTATATCAAGTTAAAAAAATAATTAATGCAGTATATATATATATATATATATATGTATATGTATATATATATATATATATATATATAATTTATGCTTAAACACTAATATTCTATAGTCATAATTTATTCCATTGGAATCGTTTTATGATCCAATTCATCAGATCTACAAATTCAAAAGGAAACAGAAAAAATGAAATCCGAAATAAAAATAGAATTTAGAGAGAGTGTAAGTATGAGAGTCTCTGGACAAATGTTAGAATTAAAGAGAGGGTAACAGATGAGAATATCATAGGAGATTAAAATTTAACAGAGAGGAGTTTTTTGAGGTGAGTTGAAGAAATCTTTTAAGTGAGAGAAATATGAATGTTGTCGGATGTCTAATACATTAAAGATGTAATATTCAAGGATACATTTTGTGGTGACATTTCACAATCATAGACGATCTAATCTTAAAGATCAGAAGAAGATGGAGGGAGGAAAAGAAAAAGAAAAAATTCTGGGGGGTTCAGAGATGGGGGGGAAACTAAACCTATGGGCATTTACTGAAAGGGCCGCTGTGTTATTAAGAAAATTTGACAAAATTAATATTGGACTACAGGTTACAAATCAAATATAAACATATAAAAATAAATATAACGATTATCTAATCTATGAGGACCTATATTTTTATGTTCAAAAACACATGCCTATACACACATACACAATAACATATACAATCGTTCATATATACATATAGGCGTGTGTTTACACACATAAATATATATATCTGTGTGTGTGTGAGAGAGATACACATGTAAACAGGAAGTTTATGTCCCCATAGTATCATTTCTATCTACCCGCATTATTCCGCTTGAGTAATAATAATAAAAACCCGGCATGTCCATTGTGTGTTCCTTGTTTATTAAATGCGATTGGCTATATCCATTTCATCCTCCCTCAATACATCACAAATGGCAACGAGTCTGTATAATAAATTTGTGAGGTAACCTTTTAATAACTTTACCAAATATTTTGGTTGATAACAAGTTTAACCGTACTTATACCCCACAGAGATAAACATGCCTAGACCCGATACATTCGGCAAACTCATCGAGAACTTTCAGAACTATAAGGAAAGGCTAGATGCATATATGGTTGCAAATGAAATTCCAGAACACAAACATACATCAATTCATCTCTTTTCTATTGGTCCCAAGACATATAGTGATTCTACAAGGTTTATCAGGCTCTGACTTGTCCTCAAGCAAAACATATGATGTGTTGTGCATATTACTCTTTCAACACTTTAATCCAAAGCCGCTTAAAATCATGGAATGACATAGATTCCACGTTAGGCTCCAGGAAAATTCCCAAACTGTATCAGACTTTATTGCAGCTATAAAACAATTATCTGTTTATTGTAACTTCAGTAATTATTTAAAGGATGCCTTATGGGATAATCCAGTGTGTGGTCTAAGGTGTAAAATCACCCAAAAGTGATTTCTTCAAGAAAACCCTCTATCATTTCATAAAGCTTGCTCCATCGCAACCTCCATGGAAACAGCCCAAAAGGATGCTACTGAAATCCACATGGACAATAAGAAGGATATACACATCCTCAGGAAGTCAGAGACTGATGGAACAAGTCAAAGGCAACAAAAGAGGAAAGTCCTTAAATTTCCACCTTGCAATTCTTGTGGAAAGACAAACCACAAACAAGCAAGATTTTTTGATGAGTATGCCATAAAAGTGGTCACATCCAGGCAATGTGTAGATCTAAGCAAGTCTACAGTAAAAAAGAGACAGCAACAGAAATCTCCACAAGCTACAAACAAATGAAGGATGGTTCAGGCAAAATATTTGTCACTGTAAGTTTAGATTCTAAGTCTGTGAGGATGGAACTTGATACAGGGGCAGCAATTTCAGTGATGACACGAAAGGATTATGAGTGGATATTTTCCATGAGCCCTGTCCTTGAAATAACCACAATCCAACTGAAGACATATACTAATAAACTCATCAAACTCTTAGGTCAGGTGTTGGTATTAGTCAAACACAACAAAAGCATCAAATTACCTCTCACCATCTTAAAAATTGGCAATAATCCCATCTTAGGGAGAGACTGGGCATATACACTTGGAATATACAAGTCCCTCCACAACATCAGCAAAAAAAAAAACTGAGTGTAGAATTCCCACAAGTTTTCAGGGAAGGTATAGGTACAATTAAGAACCTGAAAGGACTACTGAGAGTCAAATTTGATACAGTACCCAGGTACATGAGAGAAAGAACTGTCCCATATGCCTTAAGGACAAAGATAGAGGAAGAATTGGACAAACTAACGAAGGAAGGTGTCCTGTTGCTGGTCAAATCAAGTGAATGAGTGACACCTATTGTGCCCATAATAAAGCAAAATTGTAGTATCTGAATTTGCAGTGACTATAAAACAATAGTCAACACAAATTTTGAAGTTGAATAATATACCCTCCTGAAAATAGAAGACAAGGTAGCAAAACTTGAGATGGGGGAAAAATCCACCAAAATAGATCTAAAGGCAGTCATACCTACGATTAATGTTTGGACAATTTTGATGGTGCAGAGACCTGTGAAATCATAGGTATATACTTACTACATGAACTAAGTGAAATAATAGATAAAAATGATACAAGACTCTACAGGGATGACGGTCTCATAATCTTAAGAAACTACAACAAACAAAACACAGACAAAACTAGAAAAGCAATAATAAGGATTTTTAAAAATAAAGGATTTGACATAGATATAAAAACTAACCTAAATGAAGTAGATTTTACAGATGTTACCTTCAATTTAAGAAAAGGCACATATAAACCATACAGAAAACCCAATGATACACCACTGTACATGCACACATCTTCCAATCACCCGCCTTTGATAATCAAACAGATACCAAAATTGATTAACTGTAGGCTTTCCAACAATTCTTGCAACAAAACCATATTTAGACTACCAAACAGCCCTAAAAGATAGTGGATTCCTGGCAACACTCACATACTCACCACAGAGCACAAGAAAGGCCAACAGGAAGAGAAATATTATATAGTCCAACCTACCGTACAGCAAAAACATAAAAACAAACGTAGGTAAAATATTCTTCAAACTCTTAAACAAACACTTCCCGGAATCAAGCACTCTACACAAAATATTCACTAAAAACACTGTAAAAATCAGCTACAGTTGCACCAAGAACATGGAACAAGTAATAAAAAAGCACAACAGAAAAACTATCAACAAACCACCTGAACAAATTAAACCCAAGTATAATTGTAGAATAAAGAATGTATGTCCCTTAAATGGTAACTGCTTACAAAACAACGTAATATACCAAGCCATGGTAAAATCACCAGATAATGAAGAAAAAGTATACATAGGAGTAACAAAGAAACTATGCACACAAAACAACTTTCACAAATAGTAAATAGGCGAATAGCAGAACGCTTTCCAAGTATCTCTGGGAAATTAAAAAGAAAACACAAATCACACCAAAAATATCATGGAAAATAAAGAAAAGATCATCAGCCTACAACAATCAATCAAAAACCTGCAAACTTTGCTTGGAGGAAAAAATAGCTATTGTCACCTTCCCAGACCAAAATAAATTACTAAATAAACAATCTGAGCTCATCTCAAAATGCAGACATGAAAACAAATTTTTACTACGTTACTTAAAAATCGAAAAGTGAAATGAATAAATACAAATAAACAAAATAATATAAAAAACAAGTAAAATAAATTAACCCAAACAAATAATAAAGAAATTAACAAACCACTCCTGTTAGAATAGATAAAATAGAATAAATAAAAAAAATAAAATACATAAAAAACAAGTAAAAATAATCAACCTAAATAAATAAAGTAAATAATAATAAACAAATTAACAAACCAATCTTGCCAAAGTAACTGTTAGAATAAACTAAAACAACCAATCCAAAAATTGGACGTAAAAACAGATATAACTACTATATAATGATAAAAAAAATAAACATTAATACGTTACTCAAAAATCGAAAACCAAATAGAGTAAATAAAAATATACAAAATAAAAAATAAGTAAATATTTAAAAATTAATCCAAATAAATAAATAAATGAACAAATTAACAAATCATCCCTATTAAAATAACCATTAGAATTAATAAAAATAAGCATAAATAAGCAAAACTAAGTAAAAATAATAAATCCAAATAAATAAATAAATTAAAAACTGTTCCCCTGCCAAAATGACAGAATAGACTACGGTAAGTAATCTAAACATTGAACCAATAGATAGCCGTAATTATCTTCATAGACCAAGACTAACTATTAAATAAGTGACCTAAGCAAATCCCCACCAATTTTTTTTTACTACATTAATAAAACATCAAAAACTGAAAAGAATAAATAATACAAAATGAAAATGAAAAACAAATTAACCTAA